GACCATTTAAACTTCATATGTTTGTAAATTCTAGGAATTTGGGCTTGGAAGCTTTTGTTAAGATGTCAGTGGTTTTGATAATTAGTCGCATTAATTATAAAAATTATCAATATATTGTGCATAATTATAAAAAGCAAACATAGAAATATTATATGTAGTTAGTGCAAGCACTCTTTACTACCTGTTTGAGATAAAGTATAATGATAACGTTTACTAAGAGTAGGAAATTTAGAAATTTTATCTGACATAGAAAACACTTGTATATGAAAAAGGATAATAAACTGTAATAAATAATTTATCTAATGAAAGTATAATTGTACGACACAATTTACATGAGGTTCTAGCCAGCTTCTGTTGCTTGAATTTAATTGTATATCCATACCACTTGTGAGTAGACAGACTAGAAAGTCCACACAGAAAACATGTCACCATCTTTCCCCATTAACCACTCAGTTTGCCACTGAGTAGCTAGGGACTTGAGTTTCTTTTTTTTCTTTTTTCGAGATGGAGTCTCGCAATGTCTCCCAGGCTGGAGTGCAATGGCTTGATCTCTCTGCAACCTCCACCTCCCAGGTTCAAGCAATTCTCCTGCCTCAGCCTCCCCAGTAGCTGGGATTGCAAGCGGGCACCACCGTGCCCGGCTAGTTATTTTTAGTAGAGTTTCTCTGTATTGGTCAGACTGGTCTCAAACTCCCGACCTCAAGTGATCCACCCACCTCGGCCTCCCAAAGTGCTGGGATTACAGGCATGAGCCACTGTGCCCTGCTGACTTTCTTTACTTCTTAATTGACACTGATAACTCTATATGGTTGCAAATAACTCTCTTAAGAGAATGGAAGTTGTGTAAAATAAGAGAGTCTAAACGTACTCATTTTCATATCACTAGTGCTGAACATTGCAGATGTTTAACAAATGTTTGTTTAAAAAATGAATTCATGCACATATCAATTAACAAATATTTGTTAAAAGGCCACTATGCACAGGTTGATTGCCAGCTGTGTACTTACTGAGTGATCCTGTCTTTAAGTCATCACCACCTGATTTACTTCTAATTCACAGGTGTTGTTGCTATAAAATAACAGTAGTCTCTATTTGCACTGTGGTGGTATAGCATAAAGAACCCAAACTAGAAATCAGGTACCTTGAATCCTGCTCTGATACAAATCAATTAGATAAGTATGATTTCTAAGTAAATTAATTTCTGACTCTCAACTTACTCATCTGTAAAATGGAAATATAAATAAGATCTTAAAGATTTCTTCCAGCTTTAAAATTTACTGAGAATGTTTCTTTTGAATTAAAATGGGTAAAAGTTTAAAGGCCGAGGGAATTCAAGATTTGTCCTCAACTGCATTTAATTTTTTCATCCTTACCTAAGTGTCAGCATTTACAAAATTCAAGTCCCTGTATACCTTAAAGCTTAACTGTTTATTTTCAGTATCTTTGATCAGTTTGTTTCAAGTATGTATGCTTTAATTTTTTTTAAGACTCAGAAAAATAAAAAAAGCCCTGTAAGTTTTTTTGTTTGTTTGTTTTTTGTTTTTTGGTGACGGAGTCTCACTCTTGTTACCCAGGCTGGAGTACGGTGATGTGATCTCGGCTCACTGTAACCTCCACCTCCCTGGTTCAAGTGGTTCTGCCTCAGCCTCCCAAGTAGTAGCTGAGATTACAGGCATGCACCACCACACCTGGCTAATTTTTTTGGTATTTTTAGTAGAGACACAATTTCATTATGTTGGCCAGTCTGGTCTCCAACTCCTGACCTCAGTGATCCAACTGCCTTGGCCTCCCGAAGTGCTGGGATTACTTTTTTAAAAACTGACTTTTTAAAAAACTGCCTCCAACTTTGCACAAAGAAGTCTCAGGTTCCTCCTTTCAGAACCTAGCTAGACCATGGAGTAACATACCAAGACTAGGCTTGCCATAGGTGGCTTGGCTTAGAGTTTGTGCCTGACTTGGGGGCAGGGCCTTGTCTACACACTTTTTTTTTTTTTTTTTTTTTTTTGAGACAAGGCCTTGCCCTGTCATCCAGGATAGAGTGCAGTGGCTTGCTGTAGCCGTGACCTCCAGGGCTCAACTTATATTCCCACCTCAGCCTCCCAAGTAGCAGGGACTACAGGTGCATACCACCACATTCAGCTAATTTTTGGTATTTCTTTTAGAGATGGGGTTTTGCCATGCTGCCTAGACTGGCCTTGAACTCCTAGGCTCAAACAGTTGATCCTGCCGCCTCAGCATCACAAAGTACTGTGATTACAGGCTTGAGCTACTGCACCTAGCCCACACTTGTTTCTTTTTGTCTTTCCCCATAAACCCTATTCTGTGATTGACTACTTATAACAAACCTGTCATTTTGTGAAATGTTACGTCCTTCTCATCATTCACTTTACTTAAAATATTCTTTAAATGGTTGTACTTTGCATTTAGTCATTCCTGGCTGCTTCATAGACTTTGGTGTATATGTGTTTGTGTTACATGTTGATTTATGTAATTAATGGATGGTGTTGCTTATTATGATTGATCGTGAATCTGGCCACTTGACAAATTTATTTGTTCTGATTGTTTATGTTCTCAGATTTTTAATGTAAATAGTAATCACTCTAAGTAATAATCTGTTTCATTTTTTTTCTTCCAATAATTTTACCTCATTTCATTTTACTATCTTATATATAGGCTTGGTCAGAATGTTTCATATTATGTTGAAAATAGTAATGAGGCCAGGTGCAGTGGCTCACTCCCATAATCCCAGCACTTTGGGAGGCCAACCCAGGAGGATCACCTAAGGTCGGAGTCCTAGATCAGGCTGACTAACATACAGTAACCCTGTTTTTACTAAAAATACAAAATCACCCAGGCATGATGGCACATGCCTGTAGTCCCAGCTACTCAGGAGGCTGGGGCAGGAGAATTGCGTGAACCTGGGAGGCAGACATTGCAATGAGCTGAGATGGTGCTGTTGCACTCCAGCCTGGGCAACAAGAGTGAAAATCCATGTCAAAAAAAAAAAAAAAAATAGTAATGATGTATAATAGCATTCTTATCTTGTTCCTGATGTATAAAGTAATAGATGAAATGTTTCTCCATTAATTATGATACTTGTAGGGGTGTCAAGGACCTTTAGCAGGTAAAAGAAATAAATTTTTATTCCTGGTTTGCCAAGAGGTCTTATCAAATTGTGTTAAATTTTATCACATTGTTTTTATGCTTCATTTACCTTTTTTTTTTTCCCTCTAACTTTATAGGATCTTAAGTGATACAAAGTATTTTATTTTTGTGTAGTCAGGTTTGTCTGTTCTCTTTTTTATAGTTTCTAAATAACCTGTTACAGTTTTTAAAGTATCTCCAAACTCTAGATTATAGAAATACTTGGTTTTAAATCTTTATAGCATGTATTTTGGTGTGTGGTGTGATATGCAGGTGCAACTTTTTTTTTTATTATTATTATTATTTTAAGACTGGTCAAGTGCAGTAGTAAGAAGGGGGGAAAGAGTAGAACAAGGAGTTTGATCCGTAACTGACTGTGAACAATCAATTGAGATAACTCACTAACTTCGGACCAGCCTTGCAGGTGCAACTTCTTTGTGTTACTCTGGATGGAAGGTTAATATAATATTGTATTGATTGCAGTGGTCCTGTAAGTTTTAGTGGTTGTTTATAACAATAAGGAAGACTAATGGTTTTTTCAAAAAGTTTATTAAAATGTAAACATAAAGAAAAAGATTATCTGACATGGACAAACTTGAGCCTATAGATTTTTTATTGGTAAGTCAAAAGCAGGAGCAAGAAAGGAAATTATCCAAATTGAATTTTCTTATTATATTCGTCTGTTTTCATGCTGCTCATAAAGATATGCAGAGACTGGGCCATTTACAAAAAGGTTTAATTGGGCTCACAGTTCCACATGGCTGGGGAGGCCTCACAATCATGGTGGAAGGCAAGGAAGAACAAGTCACATCTTATGTGAATAAGAGAATAAGGAAGACACAAAAGCTGAAATCCTTGATAAAACTATCAGATCCTGTGAGACTTATTCACTCTCTCAAGAACAGTATGGGGGAAACCACCCCCATGATTCAGTTATCTCCCACCAGGTCCCTCCCACAACACATGGGAATTATGGGAGTACAATTCAAGATGAGATCTGGGTATGGATACAGAGCCAAACCATATCACTTATTACCCAAGTTCTATCAGACTGGGAAAACAACATTTCATTCCCTTAAGTAACAATTTTAGAGGGGGAAGATCTAAAGCTAACAATTATTCATTGTGCACATCGGGATATACTAGTTAACCAAATTTTCATGTGCCTCATTATACAGAAAAACAAAATGGCTCTTTTCTTTTTAGTTAACCTTAAACTTTATTCCAAAGCAAAGAAGTTGCTCCAATAGAACTATCTTCTATTTTGAAGAAAGCATATTTAAGAATTGCTTTGGACAACAGAAACTGTTATCTTACGAAACCTAAAAGCTCTATTAAATTTGAAATGTAGCATGTGCCTGTGTCCCATTTTTGCCTTGTAAAGAACTTAGTACACTATTAAATTATTAACTTAGTTTATTTGAAATAGTTCTAAGCTATTTCATGCCTCCAAGGATTAAAACTGAAGCCCAGGTTAGCAGTTTTAAAGAAGAGTGGACATGAGCCTTGACCATTATGTATATTTGTTACATCTGATAGAGAGTTTTTAAATTGTCTGCTAGAAACCATCTTGCTTTGTAGATGGGGAAACTGAGAGTCCCAGTGGCTATTTACTTGCTCCAGCTTGTATTTCCAGTTCATGGCAGAACCAGGACTTAAATTTCATGTCTTTCTCTGGTATTGCACTGCTTCTTTGATAATGTTTTTAAATAAAACAAAATATTTTACAACTAGTGAAACGATACAAAAAGTCATACCATATAAAAAGTATAATATGACCAGAAGGGAGATGATTAAAAATTAAAATTTCACTTAAGTAAAATGTGTATAACTTCATTTACTGTTTCTCTGTGTAGGTGAAAAGAGATTTGAATGTCCAGAATGTTCTAAAAGGTTTATGCGGAGTGATCATCTCTCCAAACATGTTAAAACGCACCAGAATAAAAAAGGTGGTGGGACAGCTCTTGCCATTGTTACCTCGGGAGAACTGGACTCATCTGTTACAGAGGTGCTTGGCTCCCCAAGAATTGTCACAGTTGCAGCCATTTCTCAAGATTCGAATCCAGCAACCCCCAATGTTTCAACCAACATGGAAGAATTCTGAAAAGTTATTTATAACAGAGACCTCTAGTGCTGCACTTGTTTACACACCTTTGAAAATCTGGAAATGGGCTGGTCAAGTGGATTACAGAGTAGGAAATTATGTTTTTGTTCTTTCAGTATTTCTTTAAGTATTCCAGGGTTTGGGGTCAACACATGAAGTGTTGAATTTTTAAAAATACGAAAAGCAAACTGATATACTGGAAACAGATAGAAAAGTATTTCTTCCATACTATAAGTTGTAGTTGTTTGGAAATATATCACATAACCTTTAAACAGAATCTTCCCATCTCTTAATATCATGTGTCAACATGTTTAAAAAGACTTTAGTAGTTTGCAGGCTAGACCTTAATTGGACTTATTTTCTTTGAAAGTACTTTGTTATAAATTCACTCAGTAGTAATTTACATGTATTCTTTTTCTCTATAGCACAGAAAACAGATAGTTAACTGATGATAGGGATAATACCATATTTCCTTAGCTTGGTTTTTGGAAAATAAACTGAAAATAGTTTTGGCCGTCTTTTCTAAATGTTAGAAATTCTTCAACAGTTCAATTAGGTTCAAAACGATAATCTGAGATGCATCTCAGATCTTTATTACCACTACATTATAGTAGTGTGTATGCAGACAATCAGTGAAGTCCAATTACTTTCTCCATTTGGAGACAAAAGAGGAACTACTTAGAGTTAAATCTTAGGTTAAATTTTAGGTTGACACCTTAGGAAATGCTGGGGGAAAAAATGGTTAGAACTCATCATAGCTTAAGAAAAATAAAATGAGGCAACTTAACATGCAATGTTTTAAAGTTAGGATTAATTATATTCCTAACCCTAGGTCGAACAACAAAATTTCATTTAAAATGTTTATATTGGAAATATTTGCTTAAAGTGTAAATTGTTCTGTAGTTCCATATTCTGTAAATATGAGTTATGTTGACAATGTGCAGAATTCTTTATGCTTTGACTTGGTAGCCAAAGAAAGAATTATATACTTTTTTTCCAAGGCCAGCAGAACATTCTCTTTAACTACATTATAATTCTTGTTTTCCTCTACTAAAAATTGGCCAATCCATTTTATTTCTAGTGCTGTGTTAGAAGGTAATTAGGAATTAAAACACAGTAATGTTTTTATGTTACATTAATAACTGAATTTTCCCTAAAAATTAGCGTAACAGATATATAATAGATATATTATGAAGCAAAATTTTTATTTTTGAAAAGTCAGAATAATTTTCAGTCAAATAACGAAAGAAAAAAATATATTTCATTGTTTATGCAAGGGTCTTACAGGAAAAGGTCTTTTTTTTTTTTTTTTTTTTTGAGATGGAGTTTCGCTCTGTCACCCAGGCTGTAGTGCAATGGCATGATCTAGGCTTGCTGCAACCTCTGCCTCCCGGGTTCAAGTGAATCTCCTGTGTCAACCTCCTGAGTAGCTGGGATCACAGGCACTTGCCATCAGAGATGGGATTTCTCCACGTTGGCCAGGCTGGTTTCAGACCCCTGACCTCAGGTGATCTGTTCACCTCAGCCTCCCAAAGTGCTGGGATTACAGACGTCAGCCACTGTGCCTGGCTAGGAAAGGGTCTTATTAGGAAAGATGGCCAAAAGTTTCATATGAAAAAAATTTGGATTATACAAGTAACTTAAACATCAGTAAGGATACTTTATGTTTTAAAAAGGTATTTACACAGAATCATAATCAGTGAAATTTACCATTTGAAAACTAAAGTTTTTACCTGCTCAATTTATTAACATCATTGCTTTGGGGATTGTTTGAATATAGGTACATGTTTTCTTGTGCATTCTCTATAATTTCAGGAAAGTACTACTCATGCAAATTCTCTTCCAAAATTGTGACGTTTCTTGTATTTTTGATGAAGGAGAAATACTGTAATGATTACTGTTTACACTATGTACACTTTAGGCCAGCCCTTTGTAGCGTTATATAAAACTGAAGGTCTTTTGTGCTTTCAGTTTGTATAAAAAAGCTTTGAGATTAAAGGAAAAAAAAATTTTTACACTGTGGTTATAAATTTCAAGTTTCTTAAAGCTTTTGTAGACTTGTAACAGAGTCTTTAAATTTTAGTTGGATTTTGTAAATTGTTTTGTATATTTTATTTAATGTACTCTTAACAACTGATGTATCTGGCTTTAAAACATCAGAATTGGTTTGTTGTTTTGTTTGGTACAGAGGAGCATTTGGTAGTGTTAATTTTAATTTTATTATAGGAGCTGAAACATCAGATATATATTTTATCTATCATTATGCTACACAATCAGTGCTATAAATTTTTTTATGCAAAGAAACTTTCTTAATGTTTTAATCATGTTTCCTCAGAGTGACACTTTTTGTTGTTGTTGTTAATAACCAAGTATGAACACTCTGCATCATTATTCCATGAACCAGTTTTAATGCAAACCTATGTATGTCCATTAGAAATGGAAGTTATTTTTTAATCAACAATGAGGCCTATTATAAATTTATCAAATGAATCTGGATAGCTTTATAGCATATAAAATAGGTTAATTTGTGTTAGCAGGTGCACATTTCACCACCGAAATTAGAAATATTTTGACAGTCTCTTCTGCATACCATTCTGAGTCTACTTTTCTGTCTTATAAGAATCGTAAATTTCAATGTCCTTTATTTGACTCAGTGGGATATAGCTGTTATAAGTAATAGGGCACAGATGTGCAGTAGAGTCTTGTTTAATGGCATTTCACTGTTCATTCCCTTTGCCACCATTATAAAACTTTTCTTTATTGTAATTATCAGTGCAAAGCTATGTATTTATCATGGTAAAACTCCAGTGTTAGAATAGTTTTTTCTTACCGTATACTTTCTTTGGTTAGGTTTGTGTATGTGTTGCTGATTACATTAGAACTTGATGTTAAGTCATTATTTATCACACTCTCATGAGAGCAGTAATAAAAGTGTGTAATCTAGGAGAAAAAGTTAATTTGTCAAACTTAGATAAGCATGATGTTTAGGTCCTATTTTTCAATTTTATAACTGTTTTATTGCAACAATATTTGTATTTAAGTCTCCATTTTAATGCCTTGTGGTGTTTTTTTATGCATGTCACTAAGTTGTCATCCCACATAAATTGATGTGCAGCATAGGGTATTAAATCTACATAATGATTTTAAAACAGAAATAGTTGATGGTAAAATGTAAATGTTTTGCAAAAATTCCTTATAAAAAGTTTTGTAGTAACATTTCACTTGTAAATTTTTTTTGTAAAAAAAAAAAAAAATGAAAGAAAATGAAAAAAAAAAAAAAAGATGAATCCAGAAAAAAACCTGTTTCCCATATCCTAGAATTTAGACAATTATTCTGCCAGCAAAGCCTCTGGGGCTGTAATTGACATTTTTACAGTGCTGATTTGTATAAAATTTGTTTTTTGTGGATTTGGAAATAAAATCATGTACAAGTTGTTGCCTGCAATAACAATTGCAAGTAACCTATTAAAAATTCCCTTGAGTTTAACATGTTTCATTTAATTATGTATACTATAAAGCAGCAATAAATTATTTGAACTATCAACCTTCTTACCATGAACACTGGAGAGTTAAATTGTTTCTCACTAGAAAACCCATTGGCAGTCCTTCATAATTCCTCGTATTGAGATCTGGTCACCACTTCTCTGAACATACTGCCAAGGAGCACCAATTCAAATTGCATGTTAATTTGTAGCCATTGCTCTAGACATTTATGGAAATTAAAATTTGATTTAGAGACACTTTTTACTTAAATATCTTAAGCAATCACTGTTAGGAAATTATAGGAAGATTTGAAAATGAAAAACATAATTAAAATATTATTTAAGCTCACAGAATCACTTAAGAAGTGGTATCGGCCACATGGATGCCACAAAGACTGCAAACAGAAATTGTTTTTTTCCTCCTGGGAGAGCCTTGCAAATCTCATAAAGACCATTAGTAACGTAATGAATACATTATTGTAGCAACTTCAGCTAACACATTTCCAAACTCACACCAGATGTAGACTTACCAAAGCGAGGGTTTGGTGGCCCAGGGTGGGGGTGTAGGATGTTAGGTAGCAAGAGAAGTATGCTGGCCCACTGACAGAACACTCCAAAGACTCTAGGTTTTAGATAGTAAGCAGGGGCTATAGGGTGTTTAGAGAGCCCTGTACAGCAAGGTCCTAAAGGCATGGTTACGTTCCAACTTTGTAAAATAGTATGTGTTCATAACAGTGATTGAATCAAAGAATTTATGCTACTCTGTCAAATCAGACAGTAAAGAATAAATTTGTCAAAGGATTTTTCTTATCCGAAGTAAAGATATACTTCAATTACCTGAAAAATTCACACTTGAAAGCATCAGGATGATAGAAAATTAGGAATACTTAAATTATGTTTTTCAATTTTTAACATAGTCTAGTTCTTGTACTTGTAGGAATTTCAGCTACATGAACAAGACAATCGTAAAAAGGGATAAATCACCTTGTAAGTTGTTGACAGCTGTTGGTGTAATAGGAAAGTTGACGCAGTGCTAAAAGCAACACTAATAATGGTGTGATTTACAATGCCATTGGTAAAGACAACTTGAAGATAGAAAAAAATACAATATCATTTTTTTTTTAAAGTTCAGATGCTTAATTATAGGGGTGCAGAGCTTCAAGTATCTGCAGCAAATTTGAAATACTTTATTTCTCTGTGAATCTGAATAATACATTGCTGTATCTACTGCCCAAACAGTAATGCCTGCTTAATATACACACAGCCAACTTGTAATTCGGTAGCAAGACTTTTAAAGAATGTATTTTCCATTCTTTTACGTTTGGCTCATTAGCATAAACCTTGGGCTCTGTTCCTTTTAGTAACAGATGGCAATGAAATAATTTATTTTTGGATACCTGGGAGTAATCTCCAGTGGAAATAGTAGAAGGAAGGAACAGAGGGAGGGAAGGAAAAGGAGCATCAAGGCCTTACAATACATAGGGTTGATCTCCCTGGTTAATAGCTTAGCACTGCCAAGAGACCCATGGAGAGTCTGAGGCTTTCAGGCTAGATTCCTGGTTCAGCCACTTAGTAGGCACACAACTGTAGGCAGGTTATTGAACCTTTCTGCACCTCTCTTTTCCTACTTCATGGAAGAGCAATTCTTATTAAGAATGTTAAGCCTTACTAATAATACATGGATCTGTTAAGATTCAAGGAGAAAACTATATGAAGTATCTAACACATAGTTGTGTTTAATACATGAAGTTATTGTTAATTATTAAGTTAACTGAAAAGGCAGAGGGTTGTCTTAGTCCATTCAGGCTGTTATAACAAGATACACTAGACTAAGTAGCTTATAAACAACAAATTTATTTCTCAGTTCTGGAGCCAAAAAGTCCAAGGTCAAGATGCTGGCAGATTCCATGCTTATTGACTCGTTCATAGATGGTGACTTCTAGCTGTCTCTTCACATGGTGAAAGAGACCAGGCAACTTTTCTGGGGCCTCTTGTAATGACACTAACCCCATTCATGAGAGCTCTATTGTCATGATCTAATCATTTCTCAAATGTTCCACCTTTTAATATCGCTAGTAATATTGTTGGTAATTGAATTTCAGCATGAATTTTGGCGGTCACAACTGCTCAGACCATAGCAGGGGCCATGGAATAGTTCCCAGCTTGACCAATGCTGAAGTGCCCTGAAAATGGGCAACAATGCATCAAAAAGTTAATGCTCAAATCCCATTTAAATGAAATTTCAATGGGAATTTCCAAATTCAAACATTTTTCTCAAACTGTGAGCTAGTTTGGCATACTATCTGCAAATTTTATGACAGTCTAGTGTATCTTTTTCCAATTCTAAGAAAAAGACTTAAATCATAGTTCTTTTTTTTTTTTTTTTTTTTCCTTGAGACAAGGTCTCACTTCATTACCCAGGCACACACCACCATGCCCAGCTCGTCTGGAATTCCTGGGCTTAAGTGATCCTCCCGCCTCCGCCTCCTAAAGTCCTGAGATTGCGAACATGAGCTCCTGCACCTGGCCTGTTTCCTAATTTTCAAAAGTTAATTGCAACTACTGCTTGCCTACCTCAAAGGGATAGCAGGCGAGCAAACTGGTGAACAAGAAGCAACCCCATTACTGAAAAACAAACAGCTGCTCATATGTTGGTCACTAACTTTTGTGGGTATAAGTGTGGATGATTTTCTATATTTAAAAGCATTCCCTATATTTAGAAATATATTTGCTAAGTAATCCCAGGCATACAGGGCAAAAGTACCCCTCTTTTCAGCTACCTACCAAATTGCAGC